TGGGCACAGGGCTGAGCTCACAGGAGGGAGAAAACAGGCTGGGGTGTACCCGTGGGCACAGGAAGTCCAGGGCAGCAAAGGAAGCCCTCCCCCCAGCCCATCAGCACACAAATGCCCTGGGCATTTCCTCATCTGTAAAAGGACAAAGAGGGTGTGCCCCATGTTCTCCTTAGTGGATGAATTAAGTCCAGTCTCTGTGGATGAGCTAGGGGTGGCAGTGTACATCTGGCCTCCCCACTATTCAGGAGGCTAAAGCAGAATTACATGTCCCTGGCCAGCTTGGGACTGATACACAGAGCAGAGCCTGTGGATGTAAGTGGGAGAGTCTGAGTTCAACCCCTGTACCACTAAGGAGGTCTTGATAAACTTAGCTAAGTAGCATGTTCATGCAAGAACTCCCTCACCAGGGGCCGAGGCTGGTGCTCAGTGCAGAGCACTTGCTTAGCGTGCCTAAGGCCCTGCTTCTGCCCAGAGTCCCCCTACAAGTGTTATTCAGTGTTACAGAGTCCTACAGAATGTGAGCTGCAGGAACTCACACTCCTCACTGGCCTCTCGCCCCCTCAGCCTGCACACCGTGGTGACTGCGGAAGTGGTTTGCATTTCCATGCTGCCAAACTGTACGGGACTTCACGTGTGATTTGTGATTACAGAACTGATATATTCTCATAAGGATTTATAGGGCTGGCCAAACAGCTCAGCAGATTAAAGTGCCTGCTTAGGCAGACTCAGGGATCAGGGTTTCACCCCCAGAGTGCCATGCCGGCCAAGCCCCCAGGGCACGCTGAGACAAGTGATTGAGATTGGGCGAAGGGGTGTACCCCTGTAATCCCAGTGCTTGGGAGGCTGAAAACAGGAGCATCATGGATCTGTGCTATGAGACCCTGTAGACCCTGTACTGAATACATAAAACAATAACAAAACCCAAAGATTTAAATATAGGTAGGGATACAGTGGAGCTGTGAAGGGATAGGTTTCCACACAAGGGTACATTTGGGGACAAGAGCGAGATTCTCCCATCATCCTGTCTGAGCAGTTTTTCCCAACAGGGGCTCTCAGCTGGCAGCTCCCAGCAGGCGTCATGGCCCAAGCAGAGGCTGTAGGGGATCAGGGTGCCGGAGGTGGTCTGTCCCAAGTCACAGTGCGTGGTGGCCCGTCTCCAACAGCATACTCTCCAGCAGCAGCCTGCTGTCCCGCTCCACGTAAGGCTGGTGCAGCCACATGGATAGGTAGCTGAGGATCAGGTCTTGGTCTGAGGTGTGGGCCAGCTCAGCACCCACCGTGCACTTTAGGAGCAGCTCCCGGCTGTACATGTCAGAGAGCTTGTGTGAAACCTCATAAAAGTAGGCTGTGGGCCAGGTATGGAACAGGGGGGCCCGGGGGCCCGTCTGTTCTCCTCCCCATAGTGGTAATTTTCTAATTCACAGATTTCCTTGGTGGTTGAAGACAGCTTCTCCATTTTCACCTGTATTTTGGTCAGACCCTCTAAAGTGGCCTGCAGCTCCTCGCACAGCATCTCGAGCCTCTTGTCATAGTCCGGGTGCATCTTTTCGTCATCATCCTCGGACACTGAGCTGCTGCTCTCCGGTCCTGCCCTGTCTTTACTCAGTAAGCTGATTTTCAGGTTGGCGATGCTGTTTGCAGTGGCAAAACCCACGTCATTCAGGGCTTCCCACTTCAGGATTAGATTGTGCCAATCAGCCGCGTTGCCCTTGATTTTTCTTGCACTGACAGACAAGACAGGCTTTCGGGGCGCCACAGCTCCAAGGGTCTTTGCTGCCATGCAGCTGCGCGCCCCGCGCAGGCGCCGAAGTCCCACCCACGGCGCCGCCAGCGTGCGTCACGTCCATTTCAAATATATTTAATGCTGGAATTTATGACTTACTACTTGGTCACTGCTAGTGGATTCCACAGAAAAAGAAACTGATAATTCATTTTGATTATTTATGAATTTTTTATTCTATCTTCACAAAGTAGTTTCAATTCACATTCATTGCATAGCAGTTTAAAATTAAATATTTTGCTTTTACCTGTATTTTCAGAAAAAAATTGACCCAAACTTATTGCTACATTCTCTCTCTAGTAAATGTTTGTTTAAAAAATAGATAATAAAAGAAAACAAGAGAAAAAACCTTATACTTGCTCCTACAACTTTCTGTCTTATACTCTAATAAGTCCTACTAACAGGACAAAGCCCAGGACCTGTGAGTGTGTGGGACAGCTTCTGCACTCCACTGTGCCCACTGGATGTCTCTGGACCAAGTCCAGGCCCAGCGTATGAGTGAGAACTTTCGGCACAGTCTTCGGAAACCCTCCTCCCTTCCAGAGCCAGCCCAAGACTGCCTTGTGAGGGAGAACTTCTGCTGCACTCTCAGGATCGATCCAGACCTGCCCAAGCCCAGGCCTAGTGAGTGTGTGAGAGAACTTCTGCATTCTTCTGTGCCCCCTGGACTCCTCCAGATGCAGTCCAAGTCTGGCATACAGGCCTGGGGTGAAACTCTGCAGCTGAAGTCCCTGCAGAGAGACTAGGTGCCAAAACCAACCAGCTAATCCAGAAGCAAAACATCTTGCCAGAGGGGCACAGGAGGTTCACCTCAAATGGCTGCAGCAGTAAGGAGCTGAGCACAGGCCAGACCCAAGCCAGGCATAACTGTATGAACTCAAACTTAGTAGATCTGCACATGAATTTTAGTAGGTGCTAAGGTAATAACAGCACCAAAGCTCTACATCAAAGGTCAGAGGACAAAATGACAAAGAGAAGGAGCAAAATGCAATTTCAGGTCCTGGCCCACCCAGAACAACTGCAGAGGACACTACCACAGCTGAAATTTCTGAAGTAATAGGGTCTGCAGTAAAGAAACAAGAGCAGAAAGATATAGAGGAACTCAGATCAGAATTAATCTCTGAAAAAAAGAAATCTCTGAATTAATAATGTCTGAAGTAAAGAATGAAATGCAGAAACATATAGAGGAAATCAGATCAGAATTAATCTCTGTAGTAAAACAATTAATAAATGCTTCTCAAGAAGATAATGTTAAAAAAATAGAGGAGATGAGAAAAGCAATGGATTCCATGAATGAGCAATACAGGAAAGAAATAGATCTGTGAAGCAGGGTCAAAGAGATACAGAGGAACTTAAAATTTCAATCACAAGCTTGCAAAACCGTTTGAGTGAAAGTGAAGATAGTTTCAGATGTTGAAGACACTGTTGCTGCTAGTGAAAAGGTAAGAAAAGATCACTTAAAAAACAAGGATGCAGGAAAAAAAAATACATCACCTGCAAGACAATGCAAAGATGAACAACATTAGACTAATAGGCATCAATGAGAAAGAAAGAGTCAATACAAATGATATAAAAAAAATGAGCAGAAGAAATAGTAAAAAACTTCCCAAATATGAGGAAACAATCTGATATTCAGGTAACCTAATCATACAGAACACCAAATAACTTCAACCCAATAAAAAACACACCGAGATATATAATAGTCAAAATCCCAGAAATCCAGCACAAAAACAATGTACTGAAAGCCACTAGAGAAAAGAAGCAGATCACATTTAAAGGAAAGCCCATCAGAATAATGGAAGACTTCTTTTCATAAACCATGAAGAAAAGAAAAACATGGAGCAGAATGCTTTTAGGCCTCTATGAAAATAAATTTCAGCCCAGACTACTATACCCTGCAAAACTCTCTGAAGTTTGATGGAGAAGTGAAATACTTCCAAGACAAAGAACAACTAAAGAATTTCAAGAGGACAAATTGAACCCTACATAGACTACTTAAAGATGTTCTAGGAAAAGCACCAGGAAGAGCCTCTCTTGAGTTCTTTGGAAGAAGGTAGAAGAAAGGACACTTCTTCAAAATGGCAATGGTATCAGAATTCCTCAAGCAGGTCTACTTTATGGACAATCAAGAACAGGAATATGTTCAAACTGTGAAAACATCCAAAGGCAGTCCTGGGTCTGCCGTGAGCCCCTACCCTGGCTTTAATCCCTCCTCTGATGTTGAGGCTTTGTACAAAGCCATAACAGTAAAAGGTGTGGATGAAGCAACCATCATTGACATTCTGACGAAGAGAAACAATGCCCAGTGTCAGCAGATCAAAGCAGCCTACCTCCAGGAAAAAGGGAAGCCACTGGATGAAGCTCTGAAGAAAGCCCTCAAAGGTCATCTAGAGGAAGTGGTTTTGGCTCTGCTGAAAACTCCTGCCCAGTTTGATGCAGATGAGCTCTATGCTGCCATGAAGGGTCTTGGAACTGATGAAGACACCCTCATTGAAATTTTGGTATCAAGAAAGAATAGAGAAATCAGAGAAATTAATAGAGTCTACAAAGATGAACTGAAAAGAGATTTGACCAAAGACATCACCACAGACACATCTGGTGATTTCCGGAAGGCTCTGCTTTCTCTCGCTAAGGGTGACTGATGTGAGGATCTTGGTGTGAATGAAGACCTGGTGGACACAGATGCTGGGCTCTATATGAAGCTGGAGAAAGAAGAAAGGGGACAGACATAAATGTGTTCAACACCATTCTGACCACCCGCAGCTACCCCCATCTTCGCAGTGTGTTTCAGAGATACACCAAGTACAGTGAGCATGACATGAACAAGGCTCTTGACCTGGAGCTGAAAGGTGACATCGAGAGATGCCTCACAGCCATAGTGAAATGTGCCACAAGCACACCTGCCTTCTTCGCTGAGAAGCTTCATGAGGCGATGAAGGGCGCTGGCACTCGCCACAAGGCGCTGATCAGGATCATGTTCTCTCGCTCGGAAATCGACATGAATGACATCAAAGTGTACTATCAGAAGATGTATGGGATCTTGCTGTGCCAAGCCATCCTGGATGAAACCAACGGAGATTATGAAAAAATTCTGTTGGCTCTTTGTGCAGAAAATTAAACATTCCTTTGAAGCTCTCAAGTATTCTTATTGGAAGACTTCTGAACCACAGTTTTTCATTCTGCAACATTGGCTTAACTAGGTAGGTTGGTTGAGCAGGTTTGCAGTGTAACTATCTGCTTTCTGAAAAAAAATATAGCCTATAAATCTTTTTTAATATCACAACTCTGTATAATGGAGATAAGTTTGTTTTTAAAATATGTTTTCAGAAATCATAAGATCCCATGTACAAGTTGTTTTATTGCCTGACAAAAATGTGTAAGTAGCTGAAAATAAAAATAATGATGTGACAAAAAAAAAAGATGTTTTAGATAGGGACCAAGATGATCAGAACTCCAAAAATGAGATCAGACACAACCAACTAAATAGGGCAAACAATTAAACACAGGAGAAAAAGGAGTAAATGACAACAGGTAAATAATGTGTAAATCATAAGTCAACACATCTCAATTATAACCATCAATGTATATGGACTCAATACACCAATTAAGAGAAATAGACTGGCACAGTGGATTAGGAAACAAAATCCAACAATATGCTGTATATAAGAAACACATTTAACTCATAAAGACATTCATAGGCTGAAAGTCAAAGGATGGAAAGCAATACTACATGCCCAGGCACATCAGAAAAAAGCAAGGGAAGCAATCCTGTTTTCAGACAGTTTCAACTTCACACCAAGAATGATCAAACGAAATAAAGAAGTACACTATGTACTGGTTAGGGGAAAAATTCAAGAGGAAGAGGTAACAAGCATAAATATAAATGCACCAAACACTGAAGCACCCAACTGTATAAGACAAATCTTAATGGACATGAAAAATGTAACATCCAATACCACAATTTTAATGGGAGAACTTAACACCCACTTATCCCAAAATGATAGGTCAAGCAGACAAAAAAATTAGCAAAGAAGTAGCAGAACTGAACCAGAGCTTGGAGCAAATTGACTTTGTGGACATATACAGAGTGTTCCAACCAATGACAGCTGAATATACATTTTTTTTTCAGCTGCACATGGCGCATATTCTAAACTGATCACATACTAGTCCATAGGTCGTGCTTAAGTATATTCAAGGAAGCAGAAATTATTCTATGCATATTATTTGACCACAGTGCAATGAAACTGGAAATAAATGAGACAAGAATTTAGAAAACCCCCATAAATACATGGAAATTAAACAACACTTTACCTAGCAACCAAAGGGGCACAGATGAAATTAAAGAAGAATTCAATAATATCTTCAATTCAATGAAAATTCCAGCACAACTAATCAGAATTTATGGGATGCAATGAAAACAATTCTCAGAGGGAAATTTATAGCCATCAATTCACACATTAGGAAAACAGAACGGGAAAAAATACACACCCTAATGTTGCACCTACAACATCTAGGAAAGGAAGAGCAAAGAAAACTCAGAGCCAAAGATGGGAAGAAATCATAAAGATTAGACCAGAAATTAATTCAGTTGAGAGGAAGAAAACATTTCAAAGAATTAGCAAATGAAATAGCTGGTTCTTTGAAAGATTAAATAAAATTGATAAGCCCTAGCTCATCTCATCAAAAAGATGAAAGAAAAATTTCAAATACAAGCAATAAGGAATGAAAGGGTGTAACTATCACAGACTAAGTGGAAATTCAGAAGATTGTCAGTAGCTACTTTGAGAACTTTTACTCTCACACAAAAGAAGACACAGAATAAATGGAAAGATTCCTAGGAAGGTACAGGTTACCACAACTAAATCAAGAAGATATAAAAACTCTCAATAACCCAATAACAGCCAATGAAATATGAAATATAACAAAAAACCTACCAACAAAGAAAACTCCAGATCCCAATGGATTCACAGTTGAATTCTGCAAGAAATTTATGGAAGATATAATCTCTGTAGTCCTCAAAAACTTCGTTGAAATTGAAAAGGAAGAAATGCTCTCAAAATCATTCCTGGAGACAAGTATTATGCTATTACCAAAACCAGGGTAAGATGAAATTAAAAAGAAAACTACAGGCCAATCTCCTTCATGCAAAAATCCTCAATAAAATCTTAGCAAATACAATACAGCAAATCATCAAAGAGATTATACACCATGACCAAGTAGGATTCATCCTGGGGATGCTAGGATGGTTCAATATATGCAAATCTATAAACATAATATATTATATCAATACAGCGAACACCCAATACTATTATGGACCACTGGACTTTTTTAGAATATTTTGCTGAGTTAACACACCTATAATATTCAAATGACAGAACTAAACGAAAAAGGGGATACAGATGAGTGTCCATTGTATATCTGTGTATTCAAAATGGTTAGGATAGATATATAGTTACATTCTCTTAATGAATAGAGGGATTTGTTCTAACAGTGTTTGTAAATAGGATATCATGTCTGCAAATAACTACTAGGAAGAGAGTATGCAATGTATTAATTATTGAAACTGTCCTACCAATTTGATTTGAAACTGTCTCATTCCTTTTTATTTCTCAATAAAATTATGGAAAAAACATAAAAAATAAATCTCCTGGAAGAGAAAGTAGGAGAAACTCTTGAGAACATAGGAGTAGGCAAAGAGTTCATGAAGAAAAATCACATCACACTGGAAACACTCACAAGAATTAAAAATTGGGACCTCCTCTTATTGAGAAGTTTTTGCAATCAAAAGAAATTACCGACAAAGTGAAAAGACAACCCACAAATTTGTAAGTAATTTTGACAAATAAGTACTCAGACAAAGGTCTGGTCTCTAGAATTTATAAAGAACTAAAAACACTAGGGATCCAAAATTTAAAGACCCAGTCCAGTAGTCGACATCTGAGATGAACACACACTTCTCAGAGGATGAAATTAAAAAAGTGAATAAATATATGAAAAAAATGCTCCATATCACTAGCCATCTGTGAAATGCAAGTTAAAACAACATTGAGATATCATTTCACTCCAGAAAGAATAGCTATTATAAAAAAATCAACCAACAAAAAATGGAGAGGTTGCGGGGAAAAAGGAACCCTTCTCCATTGCTGGTGGCAATGTAGACTGGTGCAGCTGTTATGGAAATCAGTATGGAGACTCCTTAGAAAAGTTGGTCTGGAAATCTCCTTTAAACCAGCTATTACTCTACTGGGAATTTTCCCGGAGGATCTGAAAACATCATATCTTAGTGATATATGTGTGCCTATGTTTATAGCAGCACAATTTGTGATAGCCAAATCTTGAAAACAACCAAGATGTCCATCACCTGAGGAACGGTTGAACAAGATGTGGTATTCTTATACAATGGAGTATTACTCATCTATAAGGAATGAAAAACTCAAAGCCTTTTTATTGAAGTGGATGCCACTTGAAGATATACATATAAGTGAAATAAATCAGACACACATGTGTAAATATCATATAGTTTCCCTAGTATAAAAACTCAAAAGAAGAAGTGCATGTAGAAAGATATAATACAATTAAAGGGAAAGCAATAGCTTGAGGACTAGAGAATGAGAAGAGAGCAAGGAGAAGAGCAAGGACGCACAACAGAGTGTCCCAAGCCAGCAGGTCAGTCAACGAAGGTCACCTGGTAGAGAAGCGGGGAATTGAGGAGGGGACAAAGGACAGGAGGTGCAAGAAATGGAGACAAGACAGGATTCTGATCAAGTCTCATTTATTCAGGGGAGGTGCTGGGGCATAGGGAAATGATGTCAGCGAGTAAAAGGTGCAAGTAACTAGGCAACCGGGCTATGACAGGAAGTCCCACCTCTGGGGCATAGCAGGAGACTTATGGGAAATAGGCAGGGTAAAAAGAACTAGGAGCTTAGCTCTGCAGAGTTAGGGGAAGAGAAAGTCAGAGTCACTAATGACGCTGGTGCACGAAGAAAATTTTATAGGTCAGAGGCACTCAGGTGACTATTAAGAGATATGTGGCACAGGGTCATGATGTTTCAGATTCACAGGATTTAGAAAGACTCACTTGCAATAGTATTGGAGGACTGGAGTTATTGTGCCTCCCACAACAGAAGCACGTCATACATTTATATATACAAGATGGGTAAGGCAATGATCCTGAGAATCTTCAGAAGACCTTCAAATCTAGTAGTTAATTAGAGCATTTCTCACCCTGGCTAACTATACATACTGACACCTGTGAACTAAGCAACTGCACTGAAGATGGCAATTTTTAATAGTAGGTTCATGCTTGGAATGACTGTCATTCTGGATTTCCGAATATGTGCTGCTTGTCATGACATGCCAATTGCTGCCATGCTATGTCTTGGGTAGATGATTATTTAAAGAGGAAAGGGGTGGTCAATGAAGGCAGGAGACAGGAAAAGGAGTGCTGTGGGTCTGTCCTGAAACAATGTTTTATATGGTTAGATTTCCGAATTATGTGTAAACATATATAATTCTTTATTCCTTTTTTAATATAATTTAATTTTCTAAATTTTTTGTCATATTTTGTAGGGACTTAAAGTTTAATTTATCAATACTTTATGAAAAATACCTGTTCAATGTTATGGCTAAGATGTTTGATATTCAGATAGTTAGATTAAGATCAACAGCCTTGGCCATATGGTAAAACAATTAGCTTCTCTTCTGGAGATTAACAACCTAAGTTTGAAGACCAAAAATTAGAGAAAAAGGAAGGCCACAAAGGAAGCCAACATTTTGGTCTTAGCCTTCCAAGGTCAATTAAGACTCAGGATATATGAGAACCTGTACTGTAACATCATGCAACTCATTTGTTTCCCAAATTTTCTGATCAAGGAGATTATGGGGCCAAAGAGGAAAGTGATTGATAATGTGGAGTCTGCCTAATGAGTCACATAGAGAGAATACATTCTCGCAGGCTTTCACAGTGAGCAAATTGACCAAGCAATCGCTGTGACTCATCTACATGACAGACACTGGCAAAGGATCTACAATCTGAGGTAAAGGGTCTCAGGATAAATCCTGAGGGGATTTGACTGACCTAATCATATCCAAAAGCTACAAATCTTTTGTTTAGATTTTTATCTAACACATAATAACAGATGCAATTTTTAAAAAAATAATTATCTTTGAACTTCAACTTTGTCATATAGTGTACATCTTCTTATTATATATTAGAAGGTAGAAATCATTACCTT